AAAAAACCTATTCTATAATTAATTTTTTCGCCGTTAAAACTAACTTGTATAAAATTTTACTACAACTTTATACTTAAATAATAGTTGATTCTTGGAGAGAGAGAGAGAGAGAGAGAAAGAGGAACTATTTTTTTTCTTTTCCTCCAATCGATCTATTTTTTTTCTTTTCCCTCCAATTTTATTTACTTTTTTCGAAACTCGCCTCGAAGAAGAAAGCGAATAAGAAAATCTCTCTTCGTACACGAAAAATGTTCACACGAATATTTCTCCGGCTGGACTAATATCGATCCAACACTCGAAACGGTGGAAAAGGTTAGAACCTTTTCCTATATTCCTCGCCTCGTTGTTTCCAGTCACGAAGGAGAGTGTGCAGTGTCATGCACCTTTCGAGGGAACGCGTTTTCTCTCGAGTCGAATGGCGGCTGGGCATTTCGAATACCGGTACTCGCTCACTGCACGTGTCAGGGTCAAATGACATCATTCCGACGCAAGGATGTTCGTGATGGTGCGCCGACGATTTCTGTCGTCGTAATTCATCCCGTCGATCGTCCATGCTTCTGGTAACGGCTAGGAACAACCGCGGAATCCTCTTTAAACGATCACTGTTCCACGTTTCGTTTCGTGTTTCTCTCCATTTTTTCCTTTATCTTTTTCTCGTATCTTTCTTTATTCACGTCATTAATCGCACCTGTACGATTATTAGTTTTTTTCTCTCTCTATCTCTCTCTCTCTCTCTCTCTCTGCTTGGATTCTCCGAAGATGAACCATTCGTTCGAAGAGACTTCGAAACACTAGGAAGAGGAGGAGGAGGAGGAGGAGGAATGGTTTAAAAAATCATTTAACGCTCGAATCCTCTAAAATTCTAAGCTAATTTTACAACGGTTACGTTGGGTGTATTTTTTCCAGATCCAGATAGAGACGATTTGAGAATTATATGTAAACGAACGGGATGAAGGGAATAAGAAAAAAAAAAAAAAAGAGAGAGAACGAGTCTCGAATTTAACTCAATTACTTTACTTAAGCATTTCGCGATTTAAACGACTCTCTCCTCGCTATACCGATCGCGTTATAAAGATCTTTGGTTCTTCTAATGCATGGCGATAGTGGCATAGCAAAGCTCGCACTCCTATTTCATTGGTTAATGAGTCACAATAAGGTCGACCACTCGTTAAGTCATTTTTCTTCTATGTGCAAAAGCGACATTATACCAATCGGTAGTATCGATGGTAGTAGACGAATGCATTATTCACGACATTGATTCTGTGCCGATCACAAGTTTGTTATGAATCGCCGTGTTTTTTTTTTCTTCCCCTCCCCTCCCCTCCTTTCTTCATTCCTCTTTTTTTCCCCGCCGCGCGAACGCGAAGCCAATGAAAAAAGACGGCGGCGAGATAAGTCGGTTTGCCCGGCGAGCGTAGTTTCTCGCAGGTATCGGGTGGATGATGAAACACGGCTGGTGTTTTTCGTAAGCTCGTTTTCCCGCGAAAAAAAAATAAATAAATAAAAAAGAATCGCAAAGGATTGTTCGTTACGTTTCTGTGAGCTTTTCAACAGAGAGATGATAAAGGGAGAGGAGGAGAGACGAGATGATTCGCGGGAAGTAAAGTTTCGAAATGAAAAATTTTTTTTTTCTTTCAATGGAATTGCATTGTATTAGATCCGTGGAACGGAAACGTTTCATGACGATTACGAGTCGCAACGAATGGAAATCACGCTCGTCGAGTATTCAAAATTCGGTCGATAACGTAGAGCGCTTCAGTTGGTACGATGGGCGTTACGTTGACGTTACGTTAAGAATTTAACGAGATTGCGTTGAAACGTTGCTTCGAAAGGCAGTATGCGCGCGAAGTTGATAGATGCAATGCCGTGATTACTGGTATATTTAGTTTGAGATTGGCATAGGTCGCGAGGAGTCTGCTAGTTGTTATCTATTTTCTACGCACGTGGCCTCTATAGGCCGAGATCTAGCCGGTTATAATCGGTGACACGGTATGGGCGCGACGTAAGAAACATGTTGGTGACGTTCTCATAAAGATAATGTTTCTTTCACTAAAAAAACGCAAGGATCGAATAATATTCGTTTCCTTTCAGACGAAACTTCCTTTGGACGAGATGACGACGAGTGTACGAGAATCAATTTCGAAAACGATTGGCAGAATATTAACGGTTAGAAACAGAATTTATTAGCACGATAATGTAACGAATAATTGATCGATAATCAAGCATTTCAATCGTTAAATCTCGCTCCACTTTTATACCTTTATCCTCGTATTAATTGGTAGAACGAATAGTTTAATGCTGTTTAAAAAAAAAAGAGAAGAGAGAGAAAAAAAGATCAATGAGAAATCAATCGTAAAATCGAACGGAGAGAGCGATCGTTAATGATTCGTTGAAGGGAAAGGTCATGGTACGATGTGAAAAGTGCGACGGATACCGGTGTGGTAGATGCGGATCGTAGTACGCATGATTCGACTATAGTGGAGCAGACTGGCTGCACGTAACGTGCATTCGTATATACGTTTGTGCCCGACCTATCGCAAGCTCCGTCATCGAGAGAGGGCGCGCGCCGAGTGGCGAGAGGTTATGTTAGGTTAGGGACGTCACCAGCTACTGCGCTCATCCGCCAGAATAACTTTAAGCGGGGTTGCACAACTCTAGTTCCCGCCATGTGGCGCGTGCTCCTTACTTAGCGTGCCTTTAACCGTTGCTACTAACACCGTGCCTTTGCATAAACGCGTTCCGCTATTTATTTTTGGCTTATCGCATCGAAATTTTTTTACCACCGGCTGTTGACACCGAGTGTTTCATCGATCGAATCGGTCCGTTCGCTCAATTTTATTCCGGAAATTCTCTATCGCGAAGCCACGTCGTTATCGCTATAGAATTGTTTCAAAACTGTATAATTTTTTCTTTTTTCTTTTTTTTTTTTTTTCAGACTGCGAAGAATCGGAAAAGAAATTAAACGGGAATTTTCTTTTTTTTCGTTTCACACTTTGCAACGAATATTTCTGCACCATGTACACACGTAATATATATTTATATATTTTTTGCACATTTAAGTAAACATCGTTGATCTAATTATTTTTTTGCTCGTTGTATATGAAATAATATGATTCATCGCATATCGTATTTAGATCGTATTTAGAAATGGAATAATCTATCGCGTCAGATCCGTTTCGATATCGATATTATGGAAAAAAGTTAGGTTATGAAAGTTAGATTAGATCGCTCGATGGAGAAAAATTAAGAAGCGAGCAAGTTATACTCGTCCTTCTCCTAGATTCGTCACTTCGCGACACTTAAGTCTTCGTAATTTACGATGGAAATTTTATTACCCTGTCTTGACGAATGGAAATAACGTAAGCACGACCAATAAAATTACAATTGGTTAACGCGTGCATGGTTGGTTAAAATGTTTACGCTTACTGAACCACTTTTCGCTTCATATAATATCTATTGGTCAAAAACTATTTTTACTTTTACGTTTAAGCAAGTTTCTTCCGCGCATTGCATCGTCATCCGAACGAGCAAAACTAAACTATCTCGGTGTCATCGCCTACCGACGCGCCGCTCTAAACTTTTACACGCGTTTACACCGTGTCAGACCGTGTTAACTTCGCATCGCGCGTTATCGTCAAACGGGTCAATTGGATTTCGCGTAGATGCAATTTCATCTTTATTCTCTTCGTGAGAATTTGTCTTTGAATTTGGCCGCCATAAGAGATCCAATCGTATTTCTATTTCTCAACACCCATCGTTATTTCCAACTATCTTTTCACGAAACGGATAAATAGGAATTTATTAAACGACGAGCATTATTCTAACGCGTAACTATGAAAACGTTTGAAATAAAAATAATCGTCATTATTCACTTTTACGACTTCCACCGGATGTTTTTGTATTCATATGATTTTTTCTTGTATTTGTACAGCGCAATATATATATATATATATATGTAAATAATGCAAATGTTCTCTATTACGCAACAACTATCTCGGTCGATTTTTAAAAAATGAATTTATCTAACGGTATTTATCTAATCGCGTTTTTTCCTCCCACTTTCGTTCCACACGCGACGACGAGTGGCGCGATCCGAAACCTGAGTTAATTTTTACTTTTACGCAATTGGTAGAAAATGCTCGAGCCACCGACTTCCCGTTAACAACTATTAACAAACTGCACCGTTGTTCCATTTACCTGCAACAATCGTACGGCGTAGTCGACTCGTGTATCGCCTCGTCTCACGTATTTATAGATTACAGAGAAACCGTTCCGCCCTACCGTGAACGAGCGATCGTGCAAATTGATCTACGATGATCCTGAGAATAGATAACGGCCAATTAAACGGGAAACAATAGCCTTAGGCAACCTGAACGCCGATGCTCATGAATCAATGAAATCGAACGGGGCCCACGTACGTCGATGTTCCCCGTTCCTTTTAATCGCGTTCCTCCCATCGAATCGACAATGAGAAACGAGCGTCCAAGAATTAAACCAGGCTAATAAACGATCCTCTACCTGCCCTGCGAATAAATTTCGATCGGCCGCGTTAAACTTTTTATCCGTAAATAATTACGAATAGGTAACGAAAAGAATCCGTTCGAACACTTTTTTCTTACTCTTGACGGTTACCACTTCTCGAGGAATTACCAGAATTCGTTAAAAAAAAATTATTTTCGTATCTCGGTCCGTTGCATCAGAGCGTGTATTAATCTCATAGCTGAAACTCATTACGAGGAGAAGATCGCGGCGAACAAGTTTATCCAATGAATTTTCGAACAGCCGGAAGAAGACGCGCGTTTGTCAAACGACCTAGACCTTTCGAAATTCAAATATTCAAATTTGCATCCATTATCGATTATCATCGTTCTTTCTTCCTTTCATTCTTTATTTCGTATTCGTCCGTTTCGATGTGATTAATAATTAATAAAAATTCGTTGTAACGAGATTTATTCGATTTAACGGAAAACCAGGATATATATATATATATAACGACTTACATCTTTTTCCGCTTAAGACATCCAAAACACGAAAAACGATGGAGGAGGCAAAGCGTGTCCCGAAATCCTTTACCGCGATGGACGGTATTGAACAAGGTCACTGACGTGGATCGTCGATCAGGTGTTTAAGGGGGGAGGTTCGTCGCGTTACGTCAGCGTTTATACACTACTAGCTGTGCGCGCGCGCGCGCACTTGCACCCACATTTACTTCCACGTACTTTCCTATGCTACAATATATATATATATAATATATATATTACTCGACACACATACACGTAAACACAGGTCACCAACGGTCACTTCGATGATCTCTTTCTCTCTCTCTCTCCAAGCGAGCAACGTTTCTCCAACGTCTTCTCGTCCGTTTTCTCGAGTATTTGCACGTGCTCCTTTTCCTCATTTGTCCCTCGATCCAATCCCGATCCGATTTCTCGATCACACTTCAGAAAACACTCGAAAGTTCACCACCACGTGGAAACGAACGTTCGTTACGTTATTAAGAACTACGCGTATCGATTTATCTGTCGATTAAACTTGAGTTTCTCGTAAAATTAGCGGAAATCGGTATCGATTCTCGAACACGAAAAATGCGTATAAAGTGGCAGGATATAAAGGATACGGTATAAGTCGAATGGAGAGGCAAAAACCGTTCGGTATATCGATCGGTTTTTCTTTTTCTTTTAAGTATAAGGCGCGCAGTGCCGAAAACAAATATATCGCAAAGACGCACACGACCCAGTTGCCCCGCGGAACTGGGTTATCCTTTGTCTAAACGGAAAACGTCCCCGCTTCCTCCGTGCCCCGAGCAATAACGGCTCGCGCCGTTCGTTTCGTCGCGCAAAAAACTCTCTTTTGCGTACTTTTTATACACGGTCAACTTCTTGGACAACGATCCTTCTTCGCCTTCGTTCCCTCCTCTCCTTCTTCCCTTTCTTCTTTCTTCGTTCGATCGACTCGGGATACGCGGTGTCGACCGTATATATATATGTCCAGACCGCGTGTAGAAAAAACTATGAACACAACAACGAGATAAGAAAGAAACGAACGGTGCACACGTGGGTCGAAGGTATAGTTTTAAAAATAGCGAATGTCGATGGTTTTTGGACGACGTGCGTTTCGTGCACGAATCGTTGCCAATCCAATTTCTCTTCTATTATTTTTCTATTTTCACTTTCTTCTCGAATGATTATTCGTCGATATAACAGTGATTCCTTTCCCGTAATTTCTTCTCTCCTCCAGAATATAATCGAGGATTCTCGAATTTCTTTTTTTCACCGTTCGGCTCGACGATTTCCCATTCTTCGTTCTTTTTTCTTTTTTCGACTTCGCTTGAATCGGCCACGCGAAATTCCTTCAGAGTTCGTTGTACTTTCCACCGATTTATTAACGAATCGAGTGCCTCCAATGTGCCGATTTACCATCACAGGTCCAGTTTATCATCCCGCGCAGCAACGCGTTTATCAGGCAGCGTTTCTTATCGAGTCGGGCGCGCGAGACCATTCATGCCGACCGATTTTCAAAGGAGAACCGAGCGGACCACTCGCGCGCGGGCACCCACGTACACCACGCGTGCGTGTGCGTGGACCAAAATGGCAGTCGTGTAGCGTGTCTTACGTAACCCCTCCGCGTCTCCTTTGTTTTTCCCTCTTCTCTCGGAAGTCTCTCGGAAATATATATATATATATAAATATATAACTCTCTCCACGATTTTGATCGATCGTTCGAGGATCGAGCAGCTCTTCTGCGCGTGGAGCGAGAAAAAAGGAAGATGAAAAGGCAAAAGTGAAAGAAAGAAACGGAAGATCTAAAAAAGAAATGTGGATGGAACGATATCGGTTTCCCGCGTTGCGCGTATCATCGATCGATGGAAGTGGCAGTACGAAATAGCGTAATTTCGTATCGTTAGAATAATGAAGGAGGAGGAGGAGGAGGAGGAGGAGAGCGGCATGGCGGTGGTGCTGTACCAATTTTGGCTGACCTCGTCACGTGATCGACGCGGATCTTCCTCCTCCGGCACGGGCCTCCTCTGGCAGTATGCGATTCCCGATCGAGCCGGGCCGATCGTGAACGTCTCTCGTCCGTTCGCTCGCTCCTCTCGTCCCGGATCGATCGATCGGCAGTGGGAAGGGAAAAAATTGAGAAGAAGAAAGGGGGAGTCGACGGGACGAAACTCACCACGGTTTTTTCCGCCACGGATTGTTCAAGGGTCGCGGCTTTCCAACGCGATTGTTCCGTTTTGCTCCTTCGCTCGGCGCATGCTCCGCCGATTGGCGCACGCACACACACGTATAATATGTATGCACACACGCGTACACGTACACGTATACACAGGACACGACGAGAGACGAGAGAAGACGCGTCGTGCGCGGTGACTTTGGCCGTGGACGAGAGGCGGCCGCGTTGGATTAAGAAAGAGAGAGTCGGAGAGGGGAAATAAAGGGGAGGCGATATAATAATCACAGCAAGAGCGTAGTAAGGTGTGCCGTGATGATCGATCACGGCGTCGTCGTAAGCGATTAGTCGTAATTGGCAGTGGTCGTGCTTTTGCTCGAGATCGCGAGAGGCGAGAACGCGAGCGGCGAGTTAGTTTTTTCTTTTTCTCTCTCTTTCTCTTTGTAAAGTTTTCGTCACACTTTCCGTCGTACACCGTCCGGTGGATCTATCATTTCAATGGCAACAACAAAAACGTGGAGAAGGAACACTTTCTTTGTCGTCTCGTCGTTGTTTCCTCTTCCTCTTCCTCTTCTTCCTCTTCCTCCTCTTCTTCCTCTTCTTCCTCTTCTTCCTCTTCTTCTTCTTCTTCTTCTCGTTGTTTCGTGACGAGAGGAGGAGCACGCGCGTGTTCCAAGCTGGTGGAACGATGGTGGTGACCGATGATCATCGATGCGAGTGTTTCGTACCGCGATACGGTGACGCGGAGCGAGAGAGGGGGAGGAGGACGGTGGTGAATATTCTCGCTCGATCCCACTTCCGGCTCGAGGCCCGATGCACTTTCTCCCGAACGACCGACACTATCCGTTTCCCCGTGTCGGGCTCCACCTACTCTCCTCTCTCTCTCGATTCCTCGCGCGCCGCGACGAGACGAAAAGGAAAAAAAAAAAGAAAAAAAATCGAAAAGATTTTTAGACCGATCGAGGCCAACGTCCGCCACCGACGATAATTCTAGAAATTGGAACGTGGCGGTTGGAGAGGGCACGACGACGAAGCGCGTTGTTCGGTGGCCGTCGGTCCGAGCGGAGGGCCACGCGGCAGCAGCAGGTTGTCGTAGGTCGGTGGAGGACGGTGCGTAGCTGCCACTTCCGGTCGAGGCACGTGGGTCCGCGAAGAGGCAGGGACGAATGGGATGGAAGAACGGGGTTTTGGCGCGGGACACTTCCGGTTAGGGGCGAAACGACGAGGTCCATCACCACCACATCCACCACCATCGGGCACAACCTCCTCCACCACCTCCTCGGTTCGTCTCTCTCGCGCAACGCACGCGTGTGTATATATATGTATGTATATATGTATATATGTACGGTGGTACGCGCGTGTATATACGCGTGGGCCGTCCCTGTACGCGTGCACGTGCGCGCGCGCGTGTGCGTGGACGTGTTTCTCTGTCCCGTCGTGGCGAGGTGTAAACCGAGTGTCGAGCTGAGTTGGCTTCGACAAAGTAGGGCGACGACTGGGACAGCGGCCACGGGCACCAGCGCTCACCGACGAGGAACCCGTGCGCCGTGCGGTGGAGGAACTGTGGAAGTGGAAGAGAGAACCCTCCTCGTAAAACGGCAGCGTTGCTGTACTACGTTCTCCAGTAGGGGAACCTCTAACACCGCTGCAACCAGCCTAGTCGTCGATCGCTTAGCGTTACGCACGCCGCGCCGCTCGCGGAAAAACTCTGTCTCTCCGTTCTATCCGTCCAACCGCGCCTTCCTACCAGATCCAAACCCGACCGTGTTCGCTCTTATTCCCTCTTCTCTCTCTATCTCTCTCCTCCCTCCCATTTTACTTTTCCTTTCTTCTTCTTCTTCTTCTTCTTTTTCTTCTTCCTTTTCTTTCCTTTTTTCTTCGCTTCCATCGCTTTTAAAGTTCGATCTTCGTTAAATCGCGCGTTATTAATTCTTATATCGTTTTACGTTCCGTCGACGGAATATTTTCACGGGTTAAAAAAATTGGAAGAGTACGACTCGCTCGCTGCTTTGACTCGGTTCTCACGCGTACATGCGCGCTTTATAAATGAAAAACGTCGTATTGTTACGTAACGTGGAGTCGTATTGTTGATAAAAGCGTCATTTATTGTACATACGCCGTGAGTACGAGAGATACGTTACGTTTAGACCGTCCATACGTCGAAATTCACATCGCGGCTGAACATCGCGTCGCGTAATTTCGATCGAAACGAAATTTTTGCGAAGCGGCATTCTTATTCTCGAAGTGGAATGCGATTCGGGATTTCGTTTAGCGAATTTAAACTTGAGAAACGTCTCTTTTCTTTTTCTTTTTTCTTTTTTTTTTTTTTTTTTTTATAGAAACTAGACTTCTATCGTTTACGACGGTACAAACGACATTAGAGAGCAGCGCGTAGCGGTCTCACTCGGTCGCTGCAATAGACAGATATTTTTAGAAATAAAATCGATCGATCGATATTCCGTGGCTCGGCCTTTGCCGAGCATTCGAGAAAGTTAGAATCAATTTCATATCCCGGGATATCGTCGATATCTCTGTGAAAAAAAAGAGATATTTTACATTATCGAACGTAGAGATCGTTGGCGAGAATTTTTGAGGATCGTCTTTTCTTTCTTTGCGATTTTAACCTTACCATAGATATATTCGAAATTTTAAATTACTAATAATAAAAATCTCTCGTTTCTCATTTGTACGGAGTTCGTTTTCGAGTCGATCTTGAATCAATTTTACAAATCCACGGGATCTAATGATATTTTATATCGAGAAACGAGAGAGGAGGGGAGGAAGGAGGAGGGGAGAGGGGGGACGGTGTAAAAGTTCGTAACGACGAAAGCGGAGCGAGGAAACCGTCTTTGGAGGGAAGTATTTAGAATGAAAAGAGAAAGCAGCGAGGCATAAAACTAACTGCCTCTACGAGAACTTTTGTATACAGCCTCGTATACGCGCGTTCTTGTTATTCTTTTACGGTCTAGGCCACGATGTTC